CTCTGTGGTGGTTCTAAATTTAGAGCCTTTGATAACCTGGGGAATCAGCTAAGATTTGGTTCTGACTCAGGCAATGACTTAAGTTTGTCTTTAATAAGAAAAGAAAAACACAATGAATGGGAGGGGGGTAATTAAATGGGAAGGATATGCTGTTAAAAAAAAGTTGCATAAAAAAAACCCCAAAAAACAAACAAACAAACAAAAAACCACAAAATAACAGAATAGGCAAACCTGACACGTTGGTAATCCAATTTCATCTAGATTTCTTTAAATGGTTCCCCATTAGATTCATGGTTTTGGAAGCCAAGTCATTTATGTGTTCATATGGTTACTTTCTCCACTGGCAGCTAGTATTCTCTAAGGGTAGTGACAGATTTGTCAACTTTTTAAACGCTCTGGGACTACAATACTGTGCTGAAGAGTAGGATTTCAGTAAGTACTGATTAAATGACTATGGTTCTTATCCAGCTTCAAACTCACGTTATGTTAGGTACTGAGTCAAATACACAAGTACAATCCAAGCGACCCTATGAACATATGAATCCCTGTCCTATCCCTGTGCCATCCTCCCATTTCCTGATACATGTGAGCCCACTGCAGCAGTCACTGTATTAATCCATCCTCTCCTCTGCCTCCTTTCCAAGTATGGTGTCCCTCTAAGAGGTACAGTCTCTTCTGGCCACATGCCTGAAGTATGCATGATGAAGCTTTATCATCTTTGCCTCTCAGGAGCACCCTAAAACTTATCTAGGGAGCATTTTTTAAAAATACAACTGTTCCTGAGAAAGTGATTCAGTAAATCCGGTTAAGACCATATGTGCCTGTATTTTTAAGTTCAGAATATTCTGATACGTAATGACAAATAGAATCCACTGATGAATAGTAAACTTTAATGAACATACATATCTAGTAGAATGACATTATTACTTCCAAACTATGTAAGGGTAAATATTTTTAAATGATTTTTTAAAATTTATTATTCATTTCAATGAAAATTTACAGACTTTGGATTTCCATTCATTCATTGTTGCACTTTTCTCCCCTCCCAACCCTCCCCCCTAGTACACTACCCTTTTAGAAAAGTGAAATTCTTTCATTGTTTTACAATCCCCCCCTTCACTATGCAGCCTTCCCTATGGACTCTCATGACAAAAATACCTAATCACATATCCCTTTAAAACAGTTTTCTCCCTCATCTGTTTCAATGCAGTATACATTCCTGTACCTATCTTTCTCAGTCTCCCCCCTATACCCGAGGTCAGTCCTGTTTTACAACAGTGGCACCATGCAGTATTTGTCCTTTTGTGACTGAAATACTTTACTCAGCATAATGTCCTCCAGGGTCACGTAAGAGTAAATTTTAAAAGTTAGAACCTAAGAATAAGGCTAAATCTCAATTATTTCAATGTAATGTGGGATAAAAAAGAAATGCATAGGCAGCAAAGTCACACTCAATCAACTCTTTATAAAATAGGTATTGAAATTGTTCAAAATACCAGTACAGCATAAAGTATAGCTCTTAAAAGTAATGTGAATCTGAATTTTTCCATTTACTAAAGCAGTATTACTACATACAAATGAATTAACCTTTGTCTCCTTTACTTATCCATGAGTTTTATAGTAGCTATCTTCAGAGTTGTGAAGGTTCAATGAGTTAATACTGAAGACTCAGAAACAGTACCCAAAAGACAGCAGATTTCGCAGTCAACAACAGAGGCAAAAGAAAATTTTTTAAATCCAAAATTAGTGTTAGGAACAGTGGCCCTATGAGGACTAGCTTGTTCTAATCCAATCCTGCCACAATTTAACAATGAGTGTTTTCTAACCTCTCTGTGCCTCAATAATTTTATCAAAAATCATATACTAGGAAGATCTACTTCATAGGGTTGTTAAGGAATTCTGGTGGTGCAGTAGGTTAAGTACTGGGGTGTCAACTTTAAATCCACTGGCTTTTCTGCAGAAGAAACATGAAGCAGCCTGATCCCATCAAGAGTTACAGCCTTGGAAAACCTACAGTGAAGTTACACTCTGTCCTATAGGGTTGCTATGAGTGGGAACAACTGGCAGTGGGATTTTGTCTCTATAAGGATAATACATAAGTGCTTTAAACGTTCTGATACACTGCACTCAAAATACGAGGTATTATTTTAAACTTTGTCAGTATTCAATTTCACATTAAAAAATACTCTACATTTCAGGGTATACTGTGTTTCATATTCTATCCTTTTACTGTACACACAAATTCATACATATCATACAGTATAGTTTTTGCTAAAAATACCAATGAAAGCAAAACTGCCTATGGCCCCTACATAGCAACCATTTCTTATTCTTGCTCAAAATGGTTCCATAGATCATACCTTTCAAATAAAAATTATGAGGAGTGAGGAAATAGTTCTAGATCAATGTTTAAAATTAATTCACATGTCAAGAAATAGGTGCATGACAAGTAATGGAAAAATGATTATCAATTCCCATCTGACCTAGAGCCAAATCCAAACCCAACTCATTGCCATCCAGCAACCATACAGGTCTGGGCAGTACTACCCCTTAAGATTTTCAACTCTTTAGGGAAGCAGGCTGTCACATCTTTCTGCTGTGGAGCTAGTGGGCTCCAAACCATCAATCTTCTAGTTAGCAGCCAACAGTTTAACCACTGGGATGTCTAACGATGTTTCAAAGATTCCCAATGTAATTCTGACAGCAACAACAACTAAGACACACACCGTCTCTCTCTCTCTCACACACACTCACACACACACACACACACACACTCTCTCTCTCTCTCCCTCCCTCCCCCCATATACCAATGATGTTTCACATAAGCACTTGTTTCCTCAATAGGTGAAATGTTATTTTGTCAAATATTTTATAAACCTCAAAATAGTTACAGGAGACAATCTGGCAATATGTAAGTTCTTACAGAAAGCCAGTGTTCTTTCATGAAAAGGCTTATCAAGATTAAAAAGAGTATTAAAATAACAACTAAGGTGTCAGTCAGTCCACTTGTTCCATGCTACATTAACCCATCTAATCATCAACAAAATAAATCTAGGGATTGAAAATGTTCCATTCCCCATCAACCGAGGCTTAAACATTATCTTTTTTGGGGGGGGGGGGAGGGCTTTAATTTGTGTTTATTTTCTCATATAAAACATTATCTTTTTATAGACGCATAAAGACAAGTTGCAGAGCTAGAATCCTAGAGCATTTCTACTCCAGTGTTCAGTCTTTACCATTACATTGCTTACGTTAAGCTTTTAAATCATTAAAGTGGGGGTCACAACAGCTGATAGGTATGACCAGAAAAGGGAAAAAAACCCACCTATTTCGAAGTGCTCTGTTCTATATGAATAAAAAGTTAAGGAACTAAAATTATTACACATTTTGATGGGTTAATTCCCATGGGGAGAAAAAAAATGTACTAAAATGTTACACTCCTTGTATTAACTAAGTCACAAAATACAACTATGCATTTCAATGTATTGATTGCCTTCAAAAGTCAGCCTTGATTAACAGATGCAGTCACAGAAAAGAATATGATTTATACTTTAGTTCTCAACTCTTAAGTTTTTCTTCCTCTCCTTTTCCATCGTCTCAAAAATATGAAGATTTCAATTCATATTACAAATAAATCCACACTGACAATTCAGGATTTAGGCATCAACACACTAAGAGTGAACACAAATAACTAGTTTTGTCAATAAACTCAAAATACTAGGTCTATGTAGATAAATCAAGTCTTCGCCATCTAAAAGCTAATTTGTCAAACCCAAAGTTTCTAACCTTCAACATCCTCTGCCTCCATCCCCTGCCTCCTAGTTTCTAACAAGGATGAATTTATTCCACGACATTTTTTTCAAGTTAGCTGTAAATACTCCACCCTCTTCGATTGTGCAAGAACCAAACACATCAGATACACAAGTTCCAAAAAAAGGAAATGCAGTCAAGTTTGAATTTAGGTAAATCTTGAAGAAGGCAAGTGGGGTTGGGTGAGTGTACAGCAACACACAAACTGATGTAAACGTTATCATTTATGGAAAAATATTATTTCATATTATTATGAAAGGAGATGCCGGAAAGAGCCTGAACCAGTTAAAGCCGCCGCCATCTTAAAATGCGGGATAGAAGTTACAGCAAGAAAATGAGACTAAATCACCAGAAGTGGAGGCTCTGGTAACTTCCCCTGACCTCGACAGAGCCTAGGGTTTTTTTCCAACCAAGATCGATAATTTACTATCAAACCACGTATTAAGTGGCAACGCACTCTTACCCTAGGTGGTATTAAAAGGGCCGGAGCAAAAACCCTGGTCTGCCCAGACTCTGCTCCAGACTCCCCAAGCTTAATTTTTTTTTTTTAAACATCAGTTCCCGGAGAGATACACAGCTTAGGGTGAAAAGCCGTAACTACAAACACAGGAAGTGGCAACATTGTGTCAGCCCGTCTCCTCCCGGCCCTGCAGATTCCAGCGTAACCTGTCCAGAGTCAGGGCAGTGTCTCCGACTGGCTCTTCTCGTGAGACTTCCATCCGGAACACCCCGTAAGTTCCAGAACACCCCCCCCCCCCAGATTTCTAGCATCTTTCCTCTAGGAAGCTTCCTGAGTACCTTGATTTTACGTATGAAAAGTTCTCCAGCACAAGAGGAGCACGCGTATGACATCTGCCAGAGCGACTCCCGGCAATTACGTGCCTCAAACCAGACTGACTCTTCGAGAAAAGAAATCCAGGCGCCTTGAGCGGCAGCTTCATCGCCCCCATCCCCCAAGGTCCACGGATCACGCTGAAATCGACTCAGGCTAAATCCTAACTTGCCACAAACTCTGCGCCTTAGCTTGAAGCCTTATTTTCCCTTAAAGCAAAGTTGGTTCTCCATCTTTCCCGAGAAGTGAGCCCAAGATCGGTCTTTTCAGGATCCTGTTTCTCCACCCCCACGCTCTGCTCGGGGCCTGAGCCCTCCTTCCCTCCCACAAGCCCTTTCTTTCCAGCCCTATGGGTTACCTTATTAATCCGTTTCAGCGCCATAGTCTGTGCTTTTCGTCTGGCTCCGCACTATGTCGGTGTGCGCTCAAAGGTCCGGCCAAAACTCTTGATTATCCGGGCAGCAGGGGAAAAGACTGTCTCTTCTTCTCACACCGGCTCTGCCAGACACAGGCGCCTTTTGCAAAAACGGAGCAGGATCAGCACTCGCCCGGGCCCGGGAGAAGACCCCGATGAATCAATCCAAGTCCCTTAAAACGGCCGCGATCCGGGGTGGGTGGGGTGGCAGGGCCACCGGACAGCCTCTATGCCGTGCGCCGGCCCGGAGCGGGGGCGAGGGTGACGGCAGGAGTGCAGGGGTGACTACCAGGCTGACTTCCCGTACTCTCGAGAGGAAGAAACCCAGGTGGGAGAGGAAGAGGCGTAGGAGAAAGGGGTGGGTGCGGGGCAGGGTCCAGGGCCCGGCAGAGGAGGAGCCGGGGCCTAGTCGGCGCTATGCCGGCGTCACTAGGGCAGAGAAAAGCAAGGGGGGAGGGGGAACCGGGAGGCTCCGGACGGACGCCGGGCCTCTCGCGTTTTCTGCTCAAAGGTGCAGCCAGGGAGGGGAAGGGAATAAAGGGAGAGGCTTTGCTATGTGTTGCTGTCCCCGCAGCGAGGGCTATTCTGCGTCGCCCCTGACGCCACCGTACACTCCGCCTTCCAGCGCGCGCTCCCGCCCCGCCACCGCCACCACGCGCCCGCGCCGCCCGAGGCTCCGGCTTAGGCGCGAGGACGCGCCCATTCCCTCTCCCCCTTCAACAGGAGAGGCCCAGGCTCCTCCAGCCTGCCCACCTCACCCCACCCAACAGGCTGCTGCACACCCAACCCACCCAGAGCCCTATTTCCCTCTTAACCACCGGCCACTGGGCCGGCCTCCCTTCCCTTCCCGTCCACACCCACGCGTACAGAGGGGCCGGGGCCTCCCTCAAGCTGCGGCCTCGGCCTCCTCCCGCGCGGCAACTGGTGCCTCCCCGGCCCTACGGGGCTCACGCGCACGACACAGCCACAAGATGTCCGCTCTGACGGAACTACTGCCAGCTGCCACGCTCCGCCCCGCCCCCCTCCTCCTGCCTCTTCACCGCCGCGTATCAGTCCGCCAACGCCGCCGTCGCGAGCACAGGACGACTCTTAAGGGTGAAGGGGAACGGTTTACTTCCCACGTCCAGGGCCGAGAGTCTCTGTGCCACTCCCTTTTCCTTCTCCTTTTCCGAACACCACCTTCTACTAAACGGATCTGAGGTCGGATTGGGAGGGCGGGGGCCGGAGGCGGGTCATGGGCTTGAGGGGGGAGGGTAGACGAACGGCGGAAACCCTTAGACTAAGAGAAGCATCGAGAACCGGAAGGAGACCATGGGAGGAAGGTAATGGAAGCGGCAGCTGCGCGGTCGATCCCCACACCCCTCCCGACCGCGTCCCCCTGTTTCCTCACTTGGTGTTGAGGAGTGGGGTCTCGCGAGAACCTCGTGGCTGGCGAGCTGGAGCTGGAGCTGTGCAGTGACTTAGGGTTAGTTTTGTGGGCTCTTCCTAATGGGAGCCCGCCCCTAAACCGCAAATTCTCGCGAGATGCAATAGGGCACCAGCTCGAGTTAAGGCGGGCCGCTGCGGGGAAGCACCGCCCCTGAATGCGTACGCTGGTGGGAGGGAAAGGAAGTGGAATTCCCCGGACTGTAAGAGCGCGTGCTGACACATCCTCCTCTCAAGCACCCAATCAGGAATGTGCAGAGGGAGGTGCTTTATAGGTAACTTCAGTCCAAGGGTAGATCTCCCATTCTGAGGTCTTCCATGCAGCAGGTGAACAAAATTTACTAGTCTCCCTGTCTGGCCTTGGTAACCAGTGGAAAGAGGTACCGCTTTTCATCGGCACAGTAACTTTTAATTGAACCAGGTGCCGTAGCTCTCCCACGTGCTGAAATCTTGTACATTTCTGCTTTCTATCTCGGTACAGAGAAAGCTAGGCCCTCAGACCGCTCTTCGGAGTTAAACCAGTTAATTGGTTAGAATTGGAAGTTGGGGAGATGGGACCTACTATTGTTTGCCATCGTTCACCATAGTTTAATTAATATGGAAATAAGTTTGCTACCTTAATATCTTTTTCTTCCTGTTGCAGTGTTTCAATTCCTGGAGTGCTCAAGAATTAAATTTCAGTTTCAGGAAGTAGTGAAACTCAAGAAAACAGGTGGAGTTTTGGGTCAGTACCACTCAGTACTCAGAACTAGAAGTATAGTTTTAGCCTGCCTTCATCTGCCACTGTACGGTGTGGAGAGGGTGATTTTGCTTTCTAGTATTACCTTTTGCCTAAAAAGCATTGGTTTTTAGAAGAAATTTAAAGGTGCATAAGCACTAACTTGCTTAAGATTGTCTAGCATTCCTTAATAACATTCCTTAACAAGAAGTGAAAGGTTAAGAATTACTTGGAAAAAATGTACCTGTTTTCAAAAGATGATTAATTTCTATAAAGGAAAGCAACATGCTGTTTTCTGTTGAAGAAAATGGCAAAAACTTCCCAGGTCAGTATTCTTTAGTGTTCATATAAAACTGGGCATTTTGTTGAAAAGGCACACTTTGATTTCATACAGCCTGAGATTCTGCATTTCTAGGAAAGCAACAAAGTGTAAAGATTATTCTTGCCCAAGGACTACACAGGTTAGTGGCAAGGCACGAAAGTGCCAGTCACATGACCTGTATACATATGATCTCTCCCCTCTGAATAATTCATCCTTTGTTCTCTTTTAGTCAGAGAAATATACCAGAATGAAACAGAATTAAGCATGTAGGTAGACGGAACAAACCAGGTTTCAGGTACTGCCATATTGTCCCCAGTTGTGTGATCTTGATCTGGTTAATTTTGAGTGTTTTCTTTAACACTAAATAAGAATAGCTGTTTATTTTTACAGTGCTGTTACGTGGGCCAGGTGTCTCAGAATGTGTGACATAGCACTATTGACTCCACAATGCAATGTAAATAAAAACTAGTCAAGACAGTAACTGACGATAGTCAAGAAATCAAAAGACACAGCAGTTAAATCTGTTGAAGACCTCTGTAAGATATTGAGGAACAATGATGCCAGTTTAAAGACTAAGGTCATCTAACTCAAGCCATGATCTTTTCAGTTACTTTTATGCATCTGAAATTCTTTTGAATTGTGGTGCTGGAGGACAATACTCAATATGTTGTGGACTGCCAAGGGAACAAACAAATAGGTCTTGGATAGGGTGCTGCTCCTTGGAGGCAAGGATGGTGAGCTTTTTCTCACATAACTTGGGCATGTTGTTAGGAGGGACTGGTCCCTGGAGAAAGACATCATGTTTGGTATGGTGGAAGGGTCAGCAAAGGAGTGGAAGACTCTCAACAAGATGAAAGGTAAAAATGGGCTCAAATATTTCAGAGATGATGGGAATGGCACAGGATAAGGCAAAGTTCAGATCAGATCCATTGCTCATGGAGTTGCTATGAGTTAGCACTTAACAATAAATGTGAAACACGAGTGGTAACACTCCCAACAACAAAAAATACCACTGCCATCATGTAAATTCCAACTCCTTGTAACCTCATGTGTGTCAGAGTAGAATTGTCCTTGGAGAGGGACATCCTGCTTGGGAGGATAGAGGAACAGCACACGAGAGAAAGACCGTGGATGAGATGGATTGACTCAATGACTGGCATAATAGGGGTAGATGTGTCAGATTCAGTCAGGTTGGCTCAAAATAGAGCAGGGTTCAGAGCTGTTGTACGTAGGGTCACTATGATTTGCAGGTGATTTGACAGCATGTAACAAGAAGGTTTGAATGGGTGATTATCTAAAAGTAAATTACCAGGCATTGCTTCTCAATCACCTCTGGTAGATGTCTCTAAAATTTTACATTTAGCAGCCAAGTACATTTATTGTTTATTCTGTCCAGGGACTAAAAAAAATAGCATGTTGTTGTTATCATGTACCATTGAGTTGCCTGCGACTCATAGTGGCCCTGTGTACAACAGTCCTAACCCCTGTTCTATCCTGTGCCAATCTCACTGTCTCTGACACACCCATCATTACCTCAGTCACTGAATCAATCCATCTATAGAGGGTCCTCTCCTGCGCTGACCCTCCACCCTCCCAAGCATGACGTCCTTCTCCAAGGACCGGTCCCTCCTTGTAACATGTCCAAAGTATGTCAGACAAAGCTTTAGAATCTTTACCTCCAAGGAGAAGCCTGGTTTAACCCTCTCCAAGGAAAACCTGTTCATTTTCTTAGGAGTCTTTGGTATATTCAGTACTCTTTTTCAACAACAAAGCTCAAAGACATCAATTTTCCTTCTGTCCTCCCTAGTCATTGTCCAACTCTGACTCACAGCAAGTGATTGCAAAGACAGTGGCCTGTATCAAGTGCACTTGTCTCCAGAGTAACACCATTGCTCTTCAGTACTTTGGAGAGGTCCCTAACAGCAATCTTTCCCAATTCAATACCTCTTAATTTCTTGGCTGTTGATGCCAAGAGTGTTTGTTGACTGTGGAGCCAAGCAAACTGAAGTTGTGAACAATCTCAATCTCTTCACCATCCATCCTGATGGTGCCAATTGGCCCAATGGTGAGAATCTTTGTCTTCTTGACATTGAGCCTCAATCCATATTGAAGGCTGCAGTCCTTAACCTTCTGCAGCAAGCTCTTCAGTCCTCCTCAGTTTCATTTAGCAGTGTTGTGTCATCTGCATAATGCAGATTGTTGATGAATCTTCCACCAGTCCTGATGACACTTCTCTTCATACAGCCCTGCCTCCTGGATAATCTGTTCTGCATATAGGTTGAAAAAGTATGGAGACAGGACACATCCCTGGCATACGCCCTTCCCAATTTTGAACCATGCAGTGTTTCCTTGCTCTATTCTGACAACTGCCTCCTGGTCCAAGTATAGGTTTCTCATTAGCATGATCAAGTGTTCTGGGAATGTTTATTGAATACACCCATGTACGAGGTGCTGTTGTTTTTAATCGAGTTTTACAAATGAAAATGAGATTGATTAAGTTACTACTGAAGATTACATAGAGTAAGTAAGTAGAAGAAAAAGAATTTAACTTCAGAGTATTACGTATTCAGAAAGTAGGAGGGTAGTGTGTTTTATAGTTCTTTAAAATGCCATCTGAATAAAATTTTACTTGACTTTATTTCTTTCTCTCTTCTTTCAGGAGCCTTTTATTGAATAAATGTACTCGACTGTTAATTCAGAAAACAGACATTTTCCATAATTTTATACTGAAGTTTGTTTAAATAAGTGTAGTACAATGTGACTTCTCTGAGACTTTTCTTTATGAATTTCTAACTATTCTGGGTTCCCTTTGAGTAATGTAAAAAGAGTGTAGACAGTAAGGGGCTAGCCTCATTTGACCTGTACTCATTCCACAAGAAGAAATAGCCTCTTAACATCATAAACACAAAACCAATTCCGTGAGGTCAGACATGCCATTTCTAACACAAACTTCCCCCCATGGCTCTTTTGTCTACTAGTAGGTCAGCATTCCAGTGGCCACACAAAACTCACAGATAATACTCACGATTATGGGATTTATTAGACATGTTAACAGGTTACAATTCAGATTGGAAACAGGATACAAGTCTTCAGGCAGTACAACTTCTCAGCTGTTGTCACAACGATAGAGACTTTCGGTCATTGTTTTGGAGCTCTTTTAGTCCTATTCATTATGATGTCATCCTTAGTCATTCTCCACCTTTCTGGACAATGACTAAAGTTGATAGAAGAAGAATCAATGCCTTTGAGTTGTGCTGGAGAAGAGAATTGGATATACCATGAACTGCTTAAGAAAATAAACAGTTCTGTCGTGAAGCCAGGCCACTCCTTGGAGGCAAGGATTTTAAAGCACTTTCTGACATACTTTGGGCATGTTATCAGGAGGGATCAGTCCTTGGACAGGGACATCATGCATGGAAGGGTGGAGGGACAATACAAGAGAGGAAGACCCTGGATGAGCTTGATTGAC